TGAAAGAGAGAAACGACAACTACCTATTTTCTAAATGGGGGGAAAGAAATGGGTCACTGAACACTGGAATCAGGAACACAGTTCCCAGAAGCAAACCCTCCCCCACCAAAAAGAAAAGTGGGAGTGAGGGAGAATTTGTTGTTACAAGACAGGAGACTCACTATTTTAGAAATGTTCCCTAAGCCAGATGGGATATATGCTATTCTGATGAGCTAGAGGTCTATTTAGGAACAGAGAAGTGCCTGTGTATGCATATGTGTGTCTCTCTGTAACTGCATCTTTTCTTCCCCAGAATGTTCATACTGTGGAGCCCCGTGGGACCAGTATAAACTCTGCTCGACTCCGCAGTGCCGCCAGCTCGTCTTGACCTGCCTCACCTGCCAAGGACGAGGGTTCACAGCCTGTTGTGTCACATGTCAGGACAAAAGGTGCAGGCCAGCCTCAAGCCCTACCCAGAGCAGCTTTAAAGAGGAATGTGAGTGTACAGCCCGACGGCTGCGCATACCCAGGGAACTTGCACAGCCAGCGCAGCTCCCTGCAGGCCCAGAGGCAAGGCCTGATGCTGAAGATGGGCCACACTACGAGAGCAGCACTGCCAGCATTTCCCCAAGCCTTCACAGAGCTAGGTTTGGAGTGACCATGTTGTAGAGAATATCAAGGCTACGGCAGCAGAGAAACAGGGAACTTTAGTCTGGTCAGTGCCACCATGGCAAACTGGTCACCATATCAGCCACCTGTACTTCACAAGGGGAGGGAAGAGGGAACTGGGTGCTGACCACTTATCTGAGACATTCTGTCCCGGAAGGTGCAAGAGCACAGAAAAAGGTGATCTGTGAGGGACCCCAGAGATGCTGAGGGATGGAACCGAGAGCCTGGTGACTAGGTCATGCCCTTTTCTGTGCCATGCAGCAGGTCCGGGAGTGGTCATTTTTCTTGTCAACAAACCTGTCCATCCTGGTGGCAGAAGTGTGCAAGTGATGGCCCTGGAAGTGGACTCCTTGGAGCCCGGCCAGTTCACCCCTATCCTCATCTCTCCGTTGCCAGCACTAGATCAGGATCTGCCACCTATGACAGTGGGCTTACCTCCTGCTTTTGTAAATAAAAAGTTTTATTGGAATAGCCACCGCATTCATTCACCTATACTCTCTGCCAGAATAAAGTAGTACAAAAGAGACCTAAAGGCCTGCAAAGCCTTAATATTTACTATCTGGCCCTTTACAGAAAAAATTTGCCACCCCCTGGTTTGAACTAACAGCTCATCTGATGGAGCTGATGGTCTTAAAGATATGGCCCACTTTCACTTTTTATTGATTTGGTTTCTGTGAGAGATTTACCCCTAATGGTCTCTGCTTTCCCCCAATACCCACACTCCTAGCCTTTAGGTATTCTCTTAGAGAGATTAAAATTAGCTCAATGACACTGACATTTGGGCAGTTTTTAGGGACATGCCCCGGGATGTAAGACACATTCTGAGTGAGGTCATTTAGCATCACTCTGGTGGTTTCCCAGCCTTCTGGCCAATGTATCACACCAATGTCTCTGTCACACAGGTCCCAAGAAACATACCCAGCCATTCACAGACCAACAGATTTAATATTATATTGCAGTTTCCAGTGATGCAGAATACAGCTGCAATTGTGTTTCAAGGAGAAGCCGAGTGGGAATGACCATTCCTGCAGCCTGGCGCCACACCTGGGCCCATCTGCAGCCTCAGTAGACAGCCCTCCATAGTGGTGTGGCCCTGGCTTCACCTCGGTCACCCTGTGCTGTCCGCATCACTGCAGTTCGGTGTGCCGGGCTTTTCATCAGAAGCCTCTGCGCAGTGCTCTGCAGCTTGTTAGTCTGTGCTCATCAGCTCTTTGGCCTGTTCTGTATCATAAGAGTTGCTCAATAACTCATGAAAATAACTCCTCAAGCAACCAGAAATACTAGTTTAACTGGCACTGTGGTATACTAAAAGGCACAAGGGCATTGTGGCTTAATGTTTTTGCTGGATCCCAAGAGATGCATGTGTTGTTAAAAAGGGACCTGGCAGAAACACCCAAATTACATTTTCAGAATAATCATCTTGGGATGGTTTGGCCAGGGTTTCCTAGTTCTTTAATATCGGGATTTTCTTCACCATTGGCCTTCAGAGGCTTAATTTACAGGCATGAGATCAGCAGTGACTTGTCTGTTTCATGGTACAACAGGTACTTGAAGCCCATAAAGCATAACCACAGCAGACTGGAAGTTTCTCGAGTGTTTGACCTCATGTAAGCCATTGGCCTGTTGTGCATTACAGAAAGGTGTTTTCAGGTGTTTGGCTGTAGGTTTTCAGACCCATCGTGAGGTTGGCATTTGATAAGGAAAAAATTCTTTCTGACTCCAGTATTAAATTGTAAATAAATCCCAGATGTTCATAAGGAACACTGAGGGAAATGTTTGTGCCTGGCATTGGTAAAGAAGGGATGGTTTTTGAGACTTGAAATCTCACCATTGGCTTTCTCTATCATTTCCTCATATCCAGCAAAAGGAATCTCATATTCCTTGATTCCTGGCAGAGCTTTGTGGCTTCAGTCTTTCAGTCTTTCTTGAAGGGCAAGACTGTGTTCTTGATCCAGTAATCAATTTGGCAACCTTTAATCTTGAGGTTCTTAAAATTTAAAGGAGAGTTAATAAGGAATGATGATCTGTTCTGTTTGCTTAATAGCTAAGATAAAATTTGTAATAAAGTGTTTTATAATGCTTCTAAACCAAATGGAAGAGTGTGCTATTTGTTCCTGTGTTCCACATTTTCAAATGTACCCGAAACACCACACAGCCAAGGCCACCCAAACCAGGCTCCCAGGGTAAGTCCTGCTGCTATAACATCTTCAGTAACATCTGCCCGTTTGAGGGCTTCTTAGTTTTTAAATAATAGACTGAACTTCTGTGACTAAAGAAAAACTTCACATTAACCATAGTTTATAAAATTTTCAACTACAACCACTAGTTAACCTAAAACCTTAGTGCATAAAGAACTAAACCACAGAAGGGTTTTGTGCCGGCATTTTGCCTTCTGGTTTCCACTGCAGAGCACAGATTATCAGAAGAACATGTCCAGTTCAAAGGCGCAGTCATCACCTCCACATACTAGACGCCACTCCGGCACTTGGGAATGATGGGCCCCGTGAAGTCTGCAAGCCTCCTCTTCCTCACTGGAAAGGAATGGAGATGAGATGTAAGCCAGTTGTCCCTGAGCGTCAGGTCCACTGTGGCTCTGAGAAAGCAATGAGAAGCTTCTTGCTAACGTTTTGGTTGGCAGAGTCTGAATATTGTTTAAAGGACAGTTAAATGTGAACTGTGTGTCAGCCTTACAGTTTGTCAGGATTCACTGATGAGGGCCTGTGGTTGTGTAGATTCATTTGTAAATTAATTCTAACTTGCTGACCACACAGGCACTATGCCCATTTCATCCAGCTCCATTGTTCTGCCTTTGTGGAGAGAGGCAGATCTTTGCTCCGGCTCAGGTAAGGGTGAAGTTCAGTTGATCTTAATGAGACTAGAGTCTTAAACCTGCTGGAAACATTTCCCCCAGCTCTTTCTAAGAGCTCCTGGCCTACCTCCTTCCTAGGTAAACAATTCCCACCCTGAAGATTACCTGCAGGGTCTGTCACCTTATGGTTAACCACAACAGTTTCCCAGGGGCAAGACATTGTAAGCCCAAACGTGTTCATGGAACAAGGAAGTCAGATGCCGTAAAGGAAGGCGCTAGCTGGCAGCTTGCAGGCTGGAGTCAGTAGCTTATAGGATGACAGGGGAGGGTCCGTTTAACAAGGGAGTGTTTGAAATGAATTACAGTGTCTGCAGATAAAGACCAAGTGGCAAGCTAGATGAGCCACAGGAGAAAAGTCAAGAAATCTGTAGAGCCCGTAGATGACAGTCAAGGCTGCTGGTGTGGCACAGACAGGAAGGTATTGCAAGAGGAAAAAAAGTCTGTCTATCCTTAGATGACTTCCAGTCCCCAGGTGCACTGGTAGACCTGCGGCCACCAGATAGATCATATGAGCTGCAACAAGAACCGAATCAGTTTGTGCATGACACAGCATATGAAGCAGAACCACCCAGGGAGGGGTGGCACTTGGTTAGGGCTGGGAGCTGGTGGGGAGGGAACGGGCACACCACTTGGCCTATTTGGGACTTAGAGCTCAGCCTGTGCCTAAGCAGCTACCTGCCCCTACACCCCTGTCGAAAGAGTAACTAATGCAAATCAGTGGGCAATCTCCTGGAGAGGCCAACCCATTCCTGGGCACTATGGGGATGCCCAACAGCTTGGGGTAGATGTGGGGGAACAAAAACCAAGACCCACAGAGCAAAAGGGGCTTGCCCCAAGTGGCCAGAGGCTTTACGAGAACCACATTTAAGCACCTCCACGTAAGCTGTACAAGCTCGCCCAGCTGGCAGCCCTCATCACAGCTCTTTATGCTCAGTACCTCATTGCAGCCCCACCACCAATTCTGGGATGGCAGTGCTGGCGCCATGCCCATGTTATGGATGAAAAATGTATGGCAGAGAGGGGACATTTCCTGCTCACAGATACAAGGCTGAATGTGGCAGAACTAAGGCTTGTGCCTCATCTTGAGCCCCAGCCCAGCGCCCCCCTCAGTACAATCCCAGAGTCTACGGAAGGTTTACACACCCATATCTCATCTGAGTCTCACAAGGAGGGTTCGTTCCTTTTTCCTGGAGAAGAAAAGAGAGCCAGGGTCTTTGAGAGCTGGCAGCAGAGTCAGGACAGAACCTGAGCCTCTGGCCCGTGGCTCAGGGTACAGACAGGGGGGCCCCGTTCCTTTTTCCCCTACATGCCCTCATCATGTCTCCTGGGCAGGATGTGGGCACAGTTCCCCTGACACTGCCTTCTACAGGAAGTGGATGGGGAGAAGAGAAAGGCATCCACTTATTCAAGTGGTATTTTTCTCCATTATAATGAATGAAATTGAGGCCAAGAGAGGGAAGTAACCTGCCTCAAGTCATGGTGAGTAAGTGACAGAACTGGGGTAGAAGCCCAGTCTCCTAATATCCTCTTCCAATTCCATCTGCTGCTCATTTCCACTAAGCAAACTCCTTCTCCCTTATCACTGCAACAGCCAGGGACTCGTTTATTGTTGAGCCAGAGGAGCCTGGAGTCCTATGGACCAACCTCCATCCGCTGCCTGAGCTCCCTCACCACTTCCCACCATGCACCACCATGTGTTTGGGAAGTGTTTGACATCCATTTATACATTCAATGACACTTACTGAGCACTATTATGTGCCAAGAACAAGGATCAGAAAGATACAACCTAGAAAGAGAACCAAGATGTACAACAGCTTGGTAAAGTATCCCAGGTGCCCTGGTAGCTTTCTATCAAGCATGAGGCACAGTGGGTGAAGGGGGCAGATCTTGAAGACGGCAGGTACCTTGTCCTTGGAATCTTAATAATGGGGTGGATGGGAAGGAGGGGGGCAATTAGGAGGAATGAGCCTCTCAAGGGATGCATTTGCCTGGGTCCCTGGGAGGCATTCCAGCTACCTGGACTGGCTGGTACTAAAGGTAAGAGGATGGCTCGTCAGGTGTGTCTTAAGAGGTGAGTCCAGCAGGGCTGGGCCAAGAGGGGAAGTGGAGAGCACAGGTTCTGGGGCCAGACTGCAGCGCACATCTGCCCACTGACTGCATGGATTTCTCAAGGCCTGTTTCCTTCCTGCAAAAAGGGGATAATAGCAGCACCTACCTCACCAGGTTGCTGGGAGCCTCACACGAGTCTGGGAGATGGCAAGTGTCTAGGGCAGTGCCTGGCACACAGTAAGCGCCATGTAAGTACCAGCTATGATCAGTAAAGACTTGTGGGCCATGTCAAGAGTTCAACCTGAGAGCAATGGGGGCCCAGAAAGTGCTCTAAGCACAGTGATAGGAAAAGCTTTGGGATGCTGGAGGTGAGCGGGATGAGGGCTTGACATGAGGCAGGGCCACAGGGATGGCAAGGAGGTGACTGGCGGGCTGGCATGGGGGCAACATCAGAGAGACTGGGATTTGTAGCTCGAATGGCTGTGAGGACAGTAATGCCTTTGCTGCGATGGGTTTGGGAGAAGTTGACTAAGTTGATGGGCGGTGTGCTGTGTCTGCAGTGCTTCTTCGAAAGGTCTTCCTGAGAATACAGTGGAAGAGCCACTCCCCTAGGAACATGTTTTCTGCTTTGAAACATGTTACTCCTCCTCCCCACCCCACCCCCACACTTGCAAAAGCCTTAACTTGGAGTCTGCAAACCAGATTTCATTAAGTGGAGAGAGCTTCAGTGGCAGATTTACAGAAACTGCGAGCCGACTTGGCCTGGTGCTCGTCTATAAATAGTGTGGAGATAGGAGTCATCTGAGGTATCACTGTGGGAAAACACTGATGGGGACCCACGGCGCCTCCTGACACCACGGTGCTGGTACTCTCTCCCACACAGCGCTCTGTGGACAGCTCCCCGCACGCAGTGGGAAGGACCATGGCTTCGCCAGCCAGGATGGGCCCCAGGCAGGCCGCCTGTCTGCAGAGGCACTGGCTGCCCCATGGCCTTGGGGACTGACCATCCATCAAGGAGGAGCCCCCCACCTCGCAGGCAGGCCAAGCCCAGCCCACACATGGGCCAGGAGCCAGCACAAAGGCAGGCTAGAGTAAGATGGAACCCCCAAAGGTGGGCTTCCTCCCCTCTGTCCTCCCTCCCTTGGCACTGCCTACAACCTCAGTAGCTAGGCCAGGCCCACAGGTGACTTTTGTGATAAAAATACTCAGGTGGAAAACAGGAAAGCATATCTGCATTGGAGCATCAAGAGTGGGTTGAAAACATGGTGTTGGAAAAAAAAATTTGCAGGAGGAAGCTGATGTACTAAGAGAATCAGAAGCATTTCTTTTACAAAAATTAGCCAAAGATGGGCACAAATTTGCTTTAAAGCTGGAAATCCTACCCCACCAGTTGGCACTCTGAATGCTGTGTGTAATCACTTCTGTGATTCTGCTCTAATGCCTTCTGTGCAAAACCCCAAGGAACACCTGTATAGTTAGTTCCCTGGGGTAAGCAAGAGGCCCATTTTTATTGCCTGTCATTCCTGTACAGGGGACTGCCACAGTCCCGCTTCTCACCTGCTTTCCTCACCAAACTCCTGAGCTTGGCACTAAAGGCCTTTGGCTCACAGCCTCCGCACAGCCCCATTCCTTGTGCACCTGTCAATCACATACCTGTCCGTCATCCTGCCTTTGCCCATGCTGCTCCCTGTGTCTGGAATGCCCTTCCCTTGGAGTTCCTGTTTTCCCTTCTAGGTCTAACAACCTATAATAGTTGCTCTATCCTTTTAGATCTGTCTCTCCTGCAGACTGGGTCCTACCATTTTGCTTCTCTGCCTCTGCTAGTACCCCCACGAGGAAGGCCTCCTGACCTCCCTCACAACCTCTCTCTTCCTTTCAAGGCTAGCTAAAGGCCCACCCCCCAACTAGGATGCTTTGCTTCACTGGCCTCTGGCCTCTCAAATCATTTCCTCCCTTTGTTTGGATACAGTTTATAGGCATTCCTGAATTTTTAGGCATATTTTTGAGTCTTTTGCCCACTAAAACGTTGTAAAGGTTCTTGAGTCAGGGACCTGGCCTTTCCTCTCCCCCCTTATGTCACCCATCACAGTCCTGGGCACACAAAGGTTGCTCCAAACATGCTTGCTATGACTAACAACTGGGTGACTTGCCCTGGCAGGACACCACCCCCAGAGGCTTCAGTTTCCCCTAAGGGAGCTGAAGGGGTGAGCCTGAAGTTCATACCAGCCCTGGCACTCGGGGACCTGCCCTAATCTGAGGAAGTCCCTGGATTTGGAATTGGGCTCGATTTGAAATCAGATGCTCAGGACCAGGAGCATCCTCCGGAGCCATTTTATCCAACCTCCAGCTAATTCTGGTGTTCCCACTGCAGCACTCTTGACCTCTATCATCTGGAACCTCTGCTCTCCAAAAAAGACCTCCAGACCATCTTGCCAAGGGAAGACAAAAGCTGGGTTCGCCCTGAGATAGGCACCAAGAGGCACATAAGAAACCCAATCTTAGCTGAGAGAAAAAAATGTGAGGCTACTGATACCAGAATAGAACTCAAGGCTTTTAAGCCCTGGCTCTGAAGCCAGATCACAGCTGAGCCAAGATAATTTAGATTGCCTGGCCTTCCTCAGCAATTTAGTGGAACTATCACCTCCTTTACACCATAATAATCATGATTCTTAGTTATTTACATTTCTTATTTTATTCAAATAGGGGCACTTCAGCTACACCATGACACTGGATGCATTTTTTGTTTGTTTTATGGACTTTTTCAGACCTGCAGGTCTAGAAAAAAAGTGGCACATGGAGTGAGCAACGAATGAACAGCCTCTGGGCTCTGATATCCTTACAGGCAAAAACCTATATCTTCAACACCCAGCACCCTGTAGACTTTGACACAGGTTTGGTGAATTGAGTAACTCAGTCTCAAGTGGGTGCGCCTGTGTGCGTAGCTCTGTAGTCCCTGATGCACAGGTTCTGTGACCACCTGCCTTGTACCCACACTAGTCTCCATGTATTAACCTGGTCTCAGGTTCAGATGTGCTTTCATATTAAGCTCTTTGTGTAGAGCAGGTTTGAATTTGATGAAAAATTCACTGAAGACATTGCCCTTTAGAAAACAGTTATTTCATCATTCAGTCCCAGAAAGCAGCTTTCTTGTTCTTTTGTTAAATTCATTATGCTTTCAAAACCAAGTAACTTGCTTGGTTTTCCCCCTACCTTGATTCTAGGAAACACAGATAATTGTAAAGATCAATTATTTTAACATATTAGACCTACTCCTTTTCTTGTTTTTTTCTCTTATTTTCCTATAGCCTTATCAGACATACTTGTTTTTGGACACTATATCAAGTTTAGCAGCCAGCAGGAATACACATAGTAAATAACTACACATATAGGTTGAGAACAACTGGCTCCTGTAAATAAGCCAATGATTGAGCTCACGTTCTCCTTCAACTGACTTGCATACCTATTTGACATTTGCTCATAAGATAGTGACATTTTCTTTAGTTTTCCTTTTAGAAAAAAAACCAAACTATGCCTTTAATTGACATTAAATTAATGCAGTCTGTTTTATTTTACTATGAAGTCAATACTTTCAGCTTTACCTTAAAAGTAACGTGGAGTCTCCTGGGCTTGCGCTCTGGGTGGGAGTGCTGGCTGGTGGCTTTGGGAATTGGGACTAGAGCCAGACTGTATGACTGGGAGAGGACTCTGAGTTCAGAGAAGGGTGTTCAGGAAAGAGTGACAATAAGCCTGTGCCCTGTCTCGCTGAGGGCACGCTCCGGGTGCAGCCCCGTGCTGTGGGGAGGACAGGGCTCAGCCCTACCGCCTGCAGACCCAGGTGCTCACAGTGTAGGGCAGGAGGCAAAGGTGCGAACACAGAAAACAAGAAAATGAGAAAGTCAGGCTCAAGAAGAGGACTCCCTTGGTATCAGCAGCATTTTTCCTGCCATTACCCTAGGACAGGTGGGAAAATTGGCAGGCAGGTGGGTAGGGAGCAGATTTCCACTCACCAAGGTCGTTGTTGTTCATCATTGCGTTGGATGCCCGCAGCCGGGGCCCCTGCTGGGTGAAGTGGTAGCCGAATTTGAGAAGCGTTGTGTTTTTTTCCAACATGCTCACGATCTCCATTTCCACTTTGCTGCCCAGGGGCTGGCTCTTTGATCAAGAAAAGAACAACAGTCACCACTTACTCCATTTGTGCAGGACCTAACCCTTCCCTACCTGCAGAAACCTGAGTTGTGGGTGGGGATTCTATGCTGCCCTCTTCCCTTCTGACCCCTCCTCCAAGAGCAGGCAGAGGGAAGTTTGGAGAAGCTGAAAGGTCACACAGCCAGGAGTAAATGAGCTGGGAATCAAACCCCGGGCTGCTGGATGCCAAGAACAGATCTTTTCTCCACAGCAGCCTTCTTAAAATATCTGAGCAGGAAGGACCTTCAAATTATCCAGTCTCAAGATTTAAAAACCATACTGCCCTGGCTATACCCCAGGCTAATTAAATCAGAATCGTTGGGAGTGAGACTCTGGCATCTCAGGTTTAAACTCCCCAGGTGATTCCAGTATACAGCCAGGTTTGATAGCCAGTCATTTAGACAAACAACTTACCCATGAAGAAACTGAGGCCCAGCAAGAGAAAAGGGCTTGCCAAGGTCTCAGAGTAAGTTGGGAATGCCACAGTTAGCTTCTACTCTGATCGTGTTAGTTCCCCACCCTCAAAATCTACAGTGATCATCCGAGGAAGATCAAAAGAAAAGGAAAGGAAAACCTGATGGTGCACAGTGTTGGGGAGGAGGGAGCTTTTCATGAGTCACTTACCATAGTGGGAAAAAAGGGGAAACAAGTATTCATCAAGAGGGAGTTGTTTAAATAATGAATTCAGCTTTACAACAGAACAAGGGCAGCTGTAAAATGATGATGAAAATCGTTGGTCACTGGCCTGGAAAGATGGCCTTCAAACAATGTTGGGTAGAAAGAAAAAGCCTACTTACAAAACAGGTCATATTTATGTAAAGTTACCTATATTGCCCATACACACACACACGCGCGCACACACACACGCATGTGCATTGAAAGGGCCTGCAAGTCTATTTAAGGTAGTGGTATTTGGGGGAGTCTTTGTTCTCTTCTTTCTATCATATTGTCTTGTTTCAGTTTTCTGTTACCATGTATATAAGATAATAAAACATAAACATAATCTTAAAGAGGTTGAAAAGATAGGAAGCAAGCTAACGTCTTACTTAGTAGTTAAAGACTTTTCCCCTGAGAGCAAGAACAAGACAAAGACGCTCACTTTTACCAAAGTGTCCTGCAGGTTCTACAAGGGACAACTGAGCGAGAAAAATAAATAAAAGGCGTCCACATTGGGAAGGAGGAAGCAAACTATTTCTATTTGCGGATGACACAATTTTGCATCTGGAAAATCCTAAGGAATCCACAATACATAAAAATCAGTTGTATTTCTTTACAGTAGTAACAAATGGTCCAAAAATGAAATTAAGATTGTACATAAATGTACAACAAAAAAATACCTAGGTATAAATTTGATAAAAGAGTTGTAAACTGAAAACTACAAAACAGCATTATACATAAAGAGAACTAAATAAATATAAAAATATCCTATATTCATGGATCAGAAGATCTAAGATAGCAAAACCCTCAAACTGATGTGAAGCAGCAGCTAACAGCTACCACCAACCGCTTCCCACTGCTGACAGCTGCTGCTGCTGACTGTGACAGCCTGCTATGGCCTCAGGGCTTTGTGCCCAACTCACAGCATCTCAGCTCACTCCCTCATACCCAACAGGATAAGCCCCACCTCCTCTTCAGCCTGGCACGCAGGCCCTAAGCAGCTCACTCCTTACTCCTTGCCTTCCTTTCCTCTCTCAGTCTTTACCCAGCCTGTTTACCCCAGGAGGTCTGGTACATGGTACCGGGTGCATGCAGAGGTTTACTTCTAAAAGCTCACGTGCCCTCCTACCGCCACGTGCAATGCCTTACCCTCCTGTGCCCACCTGTCAATGTATTCCTACTGCTTTAACACCTGTTGAAAATTTCCACTCCCCAGTGGGCCCTCCCTGATCCTGACCCCTGGACAATCTTTCCCCTCTCCACACTCAAGTGACACATTGTTTGTCCCTCTCTACTCCCAGCCTGGTCCAACTGCCTTATTAGGGTCCCCTGCCCCCATATCTGTCTCTCCAACTAGACCTGTGTTGTTCGGTACAGTAGCCACTAGATACATGCAGCTCTTTAAGTTTTTTTAATTGAGGTATAATTGACATATAACATCATACTAGTTTCAAGTGTACAACATAATGATCCAGTATTTGTACACACTGTGAAATGATCACAACAGTAAGTCTAGTTAACATCCCTCACCATTCATAGTAACAAAAATGCTTTTTTCTTGCAAAGAGGACCTTAAAGATTTATTCTTTTAGAAACTTTCAAATTTGTAATACAGTACTATTAACTATAGTCACCATGCTGTCATTACATCTCATGACTTAATTTTATATTGGAATTTTGTACCTTTTGACCCTTTCAACCCATTTCATCTCCCTCCCCCCATCACCTCTGACAATCATCACCAATCTATTCTCTATTTATGAGGTTGGCTTTTTTCTTTTAGATTCTACAGGTAAGTAGAATCATACGGCATTTTTCTTTGACTTACTTCACTTAACATAATGCCCTCTAGGTTCACCCAAGTTGTTGCAAATGGCAAGATTTCATTCTTTTTTTATGACTTCGTAATATTTTACTGCATATATGTACATTTTCTTTATCCATTCATCTATCAATGGACACTTGTTTCCATATATTGGTTATTGTAAATAATGCAGAAATAAACATAGAAGTGCATGTCTTTTTCAGTTGTGTTTTTGGGTAAATACTCAGAAGTGGAATTACTGGCTTGTATGGTAGCCCTATTTTTAATATTTTGAGGACCCGCCATACTGTTTTTCTACAGTGGCCACACCAGTTCACATTCCCACCCACAGTGCAAGAAATGCTTGTTATTTCTTTTTGATAATAGCCATTCTGACAGGTGCGAGGGGCTGTCTCATTGTGGTTTTGATTTGCATTTCCCTGATGATTAGTGATGTTGAGCACCTTTTCATGTGTCTGTTGGCCATCTGTATGTCTTCCTTGGAAAAATATCTATTTGGATCCTCTACCCATTTTTTATTTGGATTACCTTTTTTTTACTTTAAATTTAAATAACTAAAATGAAATAAATTTTAAAATTCAGTCTGTGAAAATGGAATATTTCCAGCATCACAGGAAGTTCTGTGGATAGTGCTACCCTAGACTGTGAGTCCTTGGATAGCACACAGTACCCAGTACCTCCAAGGCACGGGTGAGGAACTGAGTGGAGGAAATAGGAACACGCTCATGCACCCAGCAATACAGGAGGGTTGGGAAAATACGTCAGCCAAGCATCCATAAGGATAAGCATGGAAATGCAGGTAAGACTTGACAGAGAAGTCCTGCCATGTACTGTGAGTTCACCAGAGCTCATGTGGGTTCAGATGGGGCTGGAACACCTACTAGGGCATGCAGAAGGGTGCTGGTGAAATTCCACCAGCCCAGCTGGCAGGGCTCCTCCAAGTGCTGGGAAAAGCTCAGGATTGTCCTGGGAGTCTCCGCATAGTCCTGGGCTCTGGCCGGCTTGGCCTGACAGATGCTAAAGAGACCAACTGAGATCTCAGGAAGGAACTGGCAGGTCCTCCCAACCCCACCTAGCAGGAAGCCTGGCCTCTCCTTGAGGTCACTTGCTAGGAAAGCTCTCAGGACAGGCTAGCCTCAGGAAGTGCGGGTCTCCCCTGAGTGGGAGGACTGCTGGGGACTGCGGGGGCTGCTTCTGTGAAGCCCACACTTTGTGCTGCTCAGTCCAGAATATGATGCATCCCAATGCAAACTGCTCCCTACCTCCCTGGAAGGTGGGCAGGGCAGGCAGGAATGGCACCTCCATCTTAGAGAGGAGCAAACTGAACCAGCGTATGGAAGGAAGCTGGACTGTGCTCCCTCTACTTAATGACAGAGCCAAGGCTTGACCTTGACCTGGGGCGCAAAGGACTTCAGAGGATCTTCTAGGCCCACGTTCTCAAGCTAGCATCCAGCATCTCGGGGGTACACACAGACATGTCAGTATGTGTGAGAAGATACAGGATTCTATCAGTAATCATGGTGGGACTTTCTGGAGCTTTAATATTGGACCAGAGCCATTATACTTACATTAAACAGCAGAATAGAAAATGTGCATACATCTTAAGAAACTTCACACTTGCTTCATTATCAGGCCCTCCCTTGCTCAGGGTCTCTGAGACTAGAAGTCCTCAATCACTTGACAGATGAGGGAGGAGGGCTCGGGGACAGTCAGGACTAAAACTCTGGTCTCTCAGTTCTCTTTCAAATACTTACTATCTAGTGATTATTGTTTGTCAGGCAATGTCACAAGCACATCTCATTAGCTAGCTTGTTTTCTCCTTCCTATAAACCTATGGAATATGTCCTATTTTATTATAATAGGGGAGGAACATGAAAAACAGAGGCATTAAGAAATTTCCCCCAAATCGCGGAGCTGGTCAGCCGCAGAACTAAGTCTGAATACAGGCAGTTCACTCCAGAGCCTGCTAGATCCCGCCTCACCCAAGTGGCTGTGAGAGAGCGTGGACAGAAGGGGGGCTGAAGAGAAGAGTGACAGGCAGCAGGGTTCGGCTCAGGGTACAGGACTGTGGTCTAACCATCGGCAGTGTCTGCCCATGGAAAGGATGGTAGGGTAGTAGACTGCCCATCACTGGAGGTGTGCAAGTCAAGGGCAGATCATGTTTTGTCTCCTAGGGTCTCCTGACATCATTCTGAATGGGGAAGGCTTAAGCTCCATGACCTTAGGGCCTCTGGGACCTGTGTTCTATGAGTCTGTGAAAAGCTCACTCAGATGACATTTAAGAAATCAGGAGGTAACCTTGACAGTGGGTGACAGGCAATTAGGAACCCCTTGGGGAGGGACCGGGGGTCATGCCAGGTCTGACAACAGCAGACCCTGGCAGCAGGGCCAGGGAGAGGGGGTCAGGGAAGAACTCTTGCCCCCCTCCAGATTTGCTTAAGAATTACATAAATCAATTGTGAATAATGGTGATCGCATTATTAAA